CCATCAATAGGATGAATGCTTCTCCCTGTTTGTTTGTTATGACCCCCAATCCCATTTGCATGCCCCCTTCTCCATGGCACATGTGATTAAGGGCCATGCTTCATCTCCTTTGAAGTAGAAGACTTCAAAGGTTGTTCTTTGTTCTTGATGTGTGTTTCACACCAATGAGTCCCTTCAAGGCATGGGGGTTCTGTGGGAGGTTTGGCCCAATTCTATCATTGCTGGGGTTCAGAATTCTCTTTGATTGTAGGTGAACTATAAATCCCAGCAACTCCAACTCCCAAATGTCAAGGTCTAGTTTCCCCAAACTCCATCAGTGTTCACATTTGGGCGTACTGAGTATTGGTGCCAAGTTTGGTCCAGATTTATCATTTTTTGAGTCTCTGGATGTAGGTGTACTACAACCCCAAAATTCAAAGTCAATGCCCAGCAAACCCTTCCAGTATTTTCTGTCCGTTGTGGGAGTTCTGTGTGCCAAGTTTGGTTCAATTCCATCGTTGGTGGAGTTCAGAATGCTCTTTGATTGTAGACGAACTATAAATCCCAGCAACAACAACTCCCAAATGTCAAGGTCTAGTTTCCCCAAACTCCACCAGTGGTCACATTTGGGCATATTGTATATTGGTGCCAAATTTGGTCCAGATGTATCATTGTTTGAGTCTCTGGATGTAGGTGTACTACAACCCCAAAATTCAAGTTCAATGCCCACCAAACCCATTCCAGTATTTTCTGTCCATCGTGGGAGTTTTTTGTGCCAAGTTTGGTTCAATTCCATCATTGGTGGATTTCAGAATGCTCTTCGATTGTAGTTGAACTATAAATCCCAACAATCACAACTCCCAAATGACAAAATCAATCCCCCCTCAAACCTCCAAATTTGCACCAAATTTAGTCCAAGGAATGAAAATATATCCTGCAGATCAGATATTTACATTACTATTCATAAGAGTAGCAAAATTACAGTTATGAAGTAGCAACAAAAATAATGTTATGGTTGGGGGTCACCACAACATTTGGAACTGTATTTAGGGGTCACGGCATTAGGAAGGTTGAGGAACACTGAGTTAATCCCTTTGTGTCCATTTTAGCCTTTTGCACAACCTATCTCTCTTTTTGCAAAGATCTGGATTTTGGTGAGACATCACCTTAAAAGATTTGAGAGGGAGCAGATGCAAGAGTCTGTGGACTGCAACTCCCATCAGGCTTTGTGGCAGGTGATGAGGAAGGCATGGGCTTGTCCCAATAATAAAACCGGAGGCTTTAAACTAAAATCAATGGACAGCACAACAAAAAGAGACCAAATAAATTAATTTTTGAGACAACATAATTAGCTTAGGAAGCCGGATGCCAAGATAACTTGGAACTCAGACATCAGGAGGAAGGAAGGAAGGAAGACAAGATGAAAAAGACAAAGGAAAACAAGCCAGAAGCCTGTCAGTGATAATTAGATGTAAATAGGTAAATTGAGCTTCTGTGTTGCAAACTGCTACATCTCAGAGCCTGAGGATAGCAAAAGGGAGCAGTCCTTCTTCCTAGGCCTGTTCATGGTCCTAGAGTTGGAAGGGAGCCCCCAAAGGTCATCCAGTCAAACCCCATTCTGCCATAAAGAAAGACGCAATCCAAGCCCTCCTGTCAGGTGGCCATTTGGCTTTTGTGTCACGATCCTACAAGCTTAGGATGTTTCTATGTTATGGTTTTGCTGTAGGCTATAGTGCAGCTTTTTTCCAAATGAAGCAGAGAGTGTTTGAGGACAGGGACATCCGTAGGAATACCAAGGTGCTTGTTTATAAAGCTATTGCCCTCCCAACCCTGCTATATGCCTGTGAAACGTTGACTGTCTACAGACATCACATGCAACTCCTGGAATGATTCAATCAGCGTTGCCTCTGGAAAATCCTGCAAATCTCTTGGGAAGACAAGCGGACAAATATCAGCATGCTGGAAGAAGCAAAGACCACCAGCATTGAAGCGATGGTCCTCTGCAATCAACTCAGCTGGACCGGCCACGTCGTCCGGATGCCCGACCACCATCTCCCAAAGCAGTTGCTCTACTCCAGGGTAGGAATCATGTGGTTCTTGCTGGACTACAACTCCCATCTGTCCTTGCCAGCATACACAATGGCAATCTCTTGGGAAGACTAGCAGACAAATGTCGGCGTGCTGGAAGAAGCAAAGGCCCCCAGCATTGAAGCGATGGTCCTCCGCTGGACCAGCCACGTTGTCCAGATGCCTGACCACCATCTCACAAAGCAGTTGTTTTACTCTGAACTCAAGAAAATGGAATGTTGGTGGGCAGGAAAAGAGATTTGAAGATGGGCTCAAAGCCAACCTTAAAAACTCTGGCCTGGGAAGCCCTGGCCTTTGAGTGCTCCAGCTGGAGGTCAGCTGTGACCAGCAGTGCTGTAGAATTTGAAGAGGCCCGAATGGAGGGTGAAAGAGAGAATCATGCCAAGGGGAAGGCGCATCAAGCCAACCCTGACCAAGACCGCCTTCCACCTGGAAACCAATGCCCTCACTGCGGGAGAAGAAGATGCAGATCAAGAATAGGGCTCCACAGCCACCTACGGACCCACCAGAACACTGACCTTGGAAGACCATCCTACTCAGACATCAAGGGATTGCCTAAGTAAGTAAGTAAGTAAGTAAGTATACCACACTGAAATACAGTACATAACATACTAAAATACAGTACATAAAATACAGTACATAACATACTAACCAACTCAATCTGCATGTGTAACATTTCTACAGGAACCAATGTAGCAACAACACCAAGGCATACAATATTATAATGTAATACAATATAATACTACTAATAATACAATATTATAATTATATATTTTATATTACATGTATTATTACTAATAATATTACAATATAATGGCATAGTACAATATAGTTATATATAATACTGATATTGTGCTATGCTAATAATATAATATAGTGTGTGTGTGTATCCTTATCTTGTAAGCCCCTCTGAGTCCCCTTCAGGGTGAGAAGGGCGGCATATAAATGCCGTAAACAAACAAACAAACAAATAAAATACAAAACATTTCAGGATCCTGACATGCTACTTCAGTGCTTGCAGAGAAATATATATTTCTTGGGGAGTCTTCTATGTGCCCTACTTGCATCGCAAAGGAGGCATCAGAAAATAAAAGGGAGCGCCATTTGGGAGTGAACTGAATCCATTAAGATTTTGATCCCAATCTCCAAGGTGCTGAACTAGACACTGAACTTCCCTTGATGTAGGCAGGTTCCTTTACATGCATCCTGCAATTGCCTTGGCCTTTTCAGCTGCCACATCGCACTGTGGGCTCATGTTGGGGTTTACTAAGACCTATGGATCCTATATATATATCCCATTATTGTTGTTGTCGTCATTAGTATGTGCATTTATCTCCTGCTTTTGCTCTCCACGAAGGAGACTCAAAGCAGCTTATACTGAAAGCATTTCAATACCATTTAAAAAGCCACAAATATATAACCATTAAAGCAGAATTAAACATCAATGGTATCAAAAACAAAAAATAACATTTAAAATTCATAAAATTAATTAACAAGGTAGTCAAGCACGATGTCCCCCATCCTCCTCCTCCTTTCTCCTCCTTATTCACTTTCTCTTCTCTTCCTTTCTCCTCCGCATTCACCTTTTCTTCAGCTTTCTCTTCTTCCTCCTCCTTCCTTTTTCCTTCTCTTTCTCCTCTTCTCTTCTTATCTCCTTCCTTCTCTCCTCCTCCTGCACTTTCTCCTGCTCCTCCTCTTCCTCTTCTTTGTTCTCCTTCTTTTTCTCCTTTCTCTTCTTCCTCCATCTCTTCTTCATCTTCATCCTCCTTATTTCCCTTCTCCTCCTTGTCTTCTTCCTCCCACTTCTATTCCTCCTCCTCTTTATTCACCTCTTCTTTCTCTCCTTCCTCCTCTTTCTCTTCTTCATCTTCCTCCTCCTCTTCTTCCTTCTGTTTCTCTTCTTTGTCATCCTCCTCTTCCTCCTCCTCCTCCGTCCCTTCTTTCTCCTCCTCCTTCTCTTCGTTCTGCTTCTCCTCTTCCTCTCCCTCTCCTCCTTTCTCATCCCCCTTATTTACCTTCTCTTTCTCCTCTTCCTCCTCCTACTTCTCCTCTCTCTTCATCCTCCTCTTTATTCATCTGCACCTCTTCCTCTAACTCCTTCTCTTTCTTGTCTTCATTTTACTTCTATTCCTCCTCCTTATTCACCTTCTCTTCTTTCTCTTCATCCTCCTTTTCTCCCTTCTTCTTCCTATTCACTTCCTCCTCCTCCACCACCTCCTCCTCTTTCTCTTTCTCCTTGTTCACCTTCTTCTATCTCTCTCTCTCCTCCTCCCTTCTTCTCCTCTTCTTCTCTTTCTCTTCTTTCTCTTGTCTTCCTCCTTTCTCTTCCTTCTCCTCCTTTCTTCTGCTTCTCCTCTTCCTCCTCTTTCTCTTCTTCCTCCTACTTCTTCTCTTTCTTTTCCTAAATTTCATTCTTCTCCTCCTTATTCACCTCCTCCTTCATTTTACTTCTATTCCGCCTCCTTCTTAGTCACCTTCTCTTCTTTCTCTTCTCTCCTATTCTTTCCACCTCCTCTTCCTCCTTCTCCTTATTCACCTTCTTTTTCTCTTCCTCCTCCTCCTCCTTCCTATTCTCTTCCTCCTTCTCTTTTTCTTTCTCGTTATTCACCTTCTCCTCTTTCTCTTCCTCCTCCTCCTTCGTCCTATTCTCTTCCTCCTCCTCCTCCTTGTTCACCTTCTCCTCTTCCTCTTCCCCCTACTCCTTCTTCCTCCTCTTCTCTTCTTCATCTTCCTCTTCCTCCTCCTCCTTCTATTTTCTCCCTCCTTCTCCTTCTCCTCTTCCTCCTCTTCTCTTCTTCATCTTCCTCCTCCTCATTCTCTTCTTCCCCCAACCCTCCTCCCTCTCGGAGGCAGGGAGGGCAGGCCGAGAGGCGGGATGGGGCGGGCGTGGCGAGGCGGAGGAGGGCCGTCCTTCCTTCCTGGCGGATAAAAAGCCCTCCCGCCGAAGGGAAAGAGGGAAGGAAGGCAAGGGGGAGCGAAAGAAGGAGGGAAGGCAGGAAAGAGTGCCGCTAGAGGAGGAAGAAGAAGAGGAGGGGGGGGGGTCTCGATCCCCTGCTGCTGCCTCGCTGGGGCCGCCTTCCGCCGCGTTCCCCCGCCTGGATGCGCCTTGCGAGGAGGAGGCGGAGGAAGAAGAAGAGGAGGGGGCGGCAGGGGCAGGCATGAGCAGCGCCGCCCGCTCCCCTGGCTCGCCTTCGCCTTCTGCCTCCTAAGAGACCCTTCCTTCCAGCCCAAGAGAAAGAGAGAAGGAGGGAGGGAGCCCCATTCACCCCGCAAGGCTTCCGAAAAGGAGGAGGAGGAGGAGAGGACGCCGCCCCAAGGAAAGGTAGGTGGGCTCTTCGGGGGAGACCTTGGGGAAGGTCGCGGGGCAGAAAGAAAGGGGAGAACACCCTCTTAACCCCCCTCCCATTTCGAGAGGGCAACCAAAGGGGGGGGGATCTCCATCCATCCCTCCCTCTCTCCCTCCTGGAAGAAGAAAGGAAAGACGCGTTGATTGCCTTCCTTCCGACGTGCAGACCTCGCCCTCCTGGGTGCTGACACGCGAGAGGCTTCCTCCCGCAGCCAGAAACGTGGCCGAGTCCTTCCTCAGTTGGCTAGTGGGAGGACAGCCTCATTATTACCTTCCTTCCTCAGTAGGCTATTATTATTATTATTATTATTATTATTATTATTATTATTATTATT